TCCGCAGCTCCAGCTCGAAAATCGCAACTTTGTAATATAAGTCTAATACGGGTAGAGTATATTTCCAAAATCGTAATTTTAAAATATAAGTCTAGTATACGAAGTATACTTCCGTAACTCCAGCTCGAAAATCGAAATGTTGTAGCACAACTCTAGTATGCGAAATACACTTCCGCAACTCCAGCTCGAAAATCGCAACTTCGTAGCGCAATCCTAGTATGCGAAGTACATTTCCGCAGCTCCAGCTCGAAAATGGCAACTTTGTAGTACAAGTCTAATACACAAAGTACATTTCCGCATCTCCAGCTCAAAAATCGCAACTTTGTAGTACAAGTCTAGTACACAAAATACACTTCCGTAGCTCCAGCTCGAAAATCGCAACTTCGTAGTACAAGTCTAATACGCAAAGTACATTTCCGCAGCTCCAGCTCGAAAATCGCAATTTTGTAATACAAGTGTAATATACGAAGTATACTTCCGCAGCTCCAGCTCGAAAATCGCAACTTTGTAGTACAAGTCTAGTACGCAAAATACACTTCCGTAGCTCCAGCTCGAAAATCACAACTCTGTAGTACAAGACTAGTGCGCAATCTACACTTCCGCAGCTCCAACTCGAAAATCGCAACTTTGTAGTACAAGTCTAGTACACAAAATACATTTCCGCAGCTCCAGCTTGAAAATCGCAACTTTGTAATACAAGTCTAGTACACGAAGTACACTTCCGCAGCTCCAGCTCGAAAATCGCAACTTTGTAGTACAAGTCTAGTACGGGAAGAGTATATTTCCAAAATCGTAATTTTAAAATACAAGTCTAGTATACGAAGTATACTTCCGTAACTCCAGCTCGAAAATCGAAATTTTGTAGCACAACTCTAGTATGCGAAATACACTTCCGCAACTCCAGCTCGAAAATCGCAACTTCGTAGCGCAATCCTAGTATGCGAAATACATTTCCGCAGCTCCAGCTCGAAAATGGCAACTTTGTAGTACAAGTCTAGTATACGAAATACATTTCCGCAACTCCAGCTCGAAAATCGCAACTTTATAGTACAAGTCTAATACGCGAAATATATATCTCCAGCTCGAAAATCGCAACTTTATAGTACAAGTCTAGTGCACGAAGTATATTTCAGCAGCTCCAACTCGAAAATCGCAACTTTGTAATACAAGTCTAATATACGAAGTACACTTCCGCAGCTCCAGCTCGAAAATCGCAACTTTGTAGTACAAGTCTAATACGCAAAATACACTTCCGTAGCTCCAGCTCGAAAATCACAACTCTGCAATACAAGACTAGTGCGCAAACTACACTTCCGCAGCTCCAACTCGAAAATCGCAACTTTGTAGTACAAGTCTAATACACAAAATACATTTTCGCAGCTCCAGCTCGAAAATCGCAACTTTGTAGTACAAGTCTAGTACACGAAGTACACTTCCGCAGCTCCAGCTCGAAAATCGCAACTTTGTAGTACAAGTCTAGTACGGGAAAAGTATATTTCCAAAATCGTAATTTTAAAATACAAGTCTAGTATACGAAGTATACTTCCGTAACTCCAGCTCGAAAATCGAAATTTTGTAGCACAACTCTAGTATACGAAATACACTTCCGCAACTCCAGCTCGAAAATCGCAACTTCGTAGCGCAATCTTAGTATGCGAAGTACATTTCCGCAACTCCAGCTCGAAAATGGCAACTTTGTAGTACAAATCTAGTATACGAAATACATTTCCGCAACTCCAGCTCGAAAATGGCAACTTTATAATACAAGTCTAATACGCGAAATACATATCTCCAGCTCGAAAATCGCAACTTTGTAGTACAAGTCTAGTGCGCGAAGTATATTTCAGCAGCTCCAACTCGAAAATCGCAACTTTGTAGTACAAGTCTAATACGCGAGAAATACATTTCCGTATCTCCAGCTCGAAAATCGCAATTTTGTAATACAAATCTAATACACAAAATATGTTTCCGTAATTCCAGCTCGAAAATCTTATTTTCTCAATATAAATAATGTATTTACAAAATATACCTTAATAGCTCCAACTCGAAAATAACAACTTACCTTCTCGTTTTACAATAACCATGCAAAAATCCCACCCTAAATAAGTTATAATTACAAAAATTATTATAAAGCCGTACAATAGTTAAAAATTATCGTTTTTAGGGGAAATTTTACCGTTTCCATAGTTTTAATATATATTATATAAAACATATCCCGCCTTAATAAAATGGTCTTCGTGTATTTTGTTCATAGCTCATATATAAATATATCAATATTCAATAAATACATATATTCAAATTAAATTATTTTATATAATATTTATATAGTTTATATTTTATTATATTTATCAATATATATATATATTTCAATAAATTAATTTAATCAATGTTAATCAAAAATATCATAATATTAAATTGTCAATTATATATATATATTATGAATTTTATAATATTATTTTCAAAAAATAGAATTGGTATATGGTGTTTTTTTATTAAATAAGTATGTTTAAAATTGAGGCAACAATTGATTATTTGCCGAACAATAACCCTAACATGCGTAACAAGCAAAACAACATTTTTTTAAGAAAAAAAGGCAATATATCAATTTCTTAACCCAACTCAAGACTCTCAATTCAAAAGACGCTTTCGACTCGATTAAACCCGATCTAACCCGACCCCCGACCCGATTTGACTTGTGGCTGAGAAGTGGGCGTGGCTCTTGCCTTGAATTCCGAGCTAGGGGCCATCGGGCACGCCAATGTTGCCAAAATGTTCGGGGCGCTAAATGTGCGTGATTTTGGCCGCCAGAACTTGCGAAATGCCGAGAATTTTTGCGGGACTCTTCTGGCGTGAGGCCACGATTTTTGTTGAGACACTTGGGCCGAAACTGGCTTCCACTGCCAACGTAACCCCAAGATCAGGAAGCTCTTGCACGCAATCGCTGCAGAAACGTATCCAGTTAGTTGTAAGTCCCCAGATGCTCCCAAAATTTCAGGGGACTTCCGAGCCAGGTTTACAGGAGCCGGAGCGCGGCGCAAGCGCCTCGGCTCCGTGGCTCGGCTGTGCCTGTAGATGTGTGTCTGTGGCCGTAGCGAATACAAGGGTTGATGTATGTTTGGTTGTTGTTTGGTTTGCGGTTTCGTTTTTCTTGGAGTGGGGCTTGAATAATCTCCCCCCCCATTCAAATCCAGCAAAGGTATAGCACGCCACCAAACCATTTCGCCAAGATTCACGAGACGAGCAGGAAAGGACCGACCCTCCAAAGGCCCACTCCAGATTCGAATAATAGGAATGCCAAACTTATGGTCATCATATGCTGTATGGTTGCACCGCTCTTTTTCAATCATAGATACCCCATCGCTTTGGATAGAACCCATCCCTTCTCTATTCCAACCAGTGTTTCATGATCAAGCACTTCGTGGCTTGCCGTCTTCTTTGTAGCTTCCTTGTTTGGGCCATCAGCTATGCCATCAGCAGCGGACTGGACTGCATCAAGAAGTTGCGCATGACTACTCGATCGAGTACATGCTCCGCAATCCACTTGCCTTGTTGCTTCCATCGCATCCTCAAGCAGGACTTCTTGCTTGAATGCTTCTTCCAATTGAGTCTCAGCCGAAGGGCCACATGCTAAACTTCGAGCGTCTGTATGGAATGATTCGCTGAGAGGTACTCTCCCGAGCCACTTGTCTGGAAAGCTTCCTAGTGTTTTGTATTTTGCCGTGAACCACTTCACCCCGCAAATAGGAAAATGCAGAACGCACGGGTCAGCACATTCTCTGAACCCATGCACATCCATGTTCCTGGGATCTGCAAGCGCCGTGCAACTCTGGTATCCAGAAGGCAGCCGCCACAAGTGCTGGCTTAGCGGAACCGCACCGCATCCAGTGCGGCAAGCGCTTTTGCCATTGTCGTAAAACAAGAAGAAGTGGCCCCTCTGCGATCGACTCATCCAAAAGCGCAACGCGCCCCGGGCTGGGGCAGTCAGCGGGACTGCAAATTGATGCTTCTTGAAAAGTGTCACGGTGGCAAAGTAGTCCACAGTGTCCATCTGCTCCGGCACCCCTTCCTTCGCAGCCGACGTGCAAAACCGAACCAAAAGGGACTTACTTTACTGTAGCAGTTTCTGCCGAGACTACGCTTGCCCGGAACCTGGCGGGCGTTGGCTCCATTTCTTGCCGACTTCTCAAATTGTGACAGGAAAACACGGGAAGAATCAAAACGCGAAAGAGACAACTTGTTGAGCAGGCATGAGCAGATGCATGAGCAGATGCATGAGCAGTGGCAATGAGTTGCGTGTGATTTTGGCCAGGGCGCATGGTTTAAATACGACATCTGATAAACATATTTCTCTTCGAGCTCTTCGAAGTGTGGCACCACGGAAGGCTTCTCCGTGCAGAACAGCTCATCAGAGTCCAGGCAAACAAGCCAGCGGCAACCCAGACCGGGAGCCAAGTCCATGGCCAACTCTGCATCCAGAAGCTGACGACCAGAGACTTCAGATTGAAAGTCACACAACTTTCCGTAAGAAGGACACGCCTGGGGTCTCAAAATAAAACAACCTCCAAAATCGCTGGTTTGCCTTTGGGCTCCCGTTAAAACCGCCCCAAAACGACTTCCCTGCAAAAAAGGACACGCCCACCTGACGCTGTTCTTCCAGTAGCTCTGGGCCACGAATCTTGGATAGAACTCGAGCGGCTGGAAAGCGCCGCACTACGTCCAAGGTTGCTCGGTCCTCGGGGCTGTCAACGAATATCATGACCCTGGCAAAGCCTTTGGCCAGATGGTAGCGGATGAAGGATTCCAAAGGCCTTGCGGATGGAGAGTTGATAAAACTCACGGTGGACACCACCATGGCAGATCCGGGCAATGGCTCAGACATCCGAGGCACAGATGCAGGACACAATGATGCCACGTAGTGCTCACGGATGTCCCAACTGTCAGGTCCTTCGTGACCTTTGAATCGGAAGCGGCCAACAAACGGCGTCGCCAAGTGCCCGTCCAGGTATTGCAGCAGCCAGTGCTCGTCGTCTGCCCACATCGAGCGCAGCGGGATGTCCCGGTGACAGAACCATGCTGGCTTCATCTCCTCCGTCTCCTGCACCTCACCTTGCCAAGTCTCGAGATCAAAGACGTTGACCTCCATAGCCTTGGGCTTCGTGTCGTATAAGTACGTCAAGCGGCCGCGCCAGGTCAGGTCCGCGCATTTGGACGAGAGGCCGCACTCCTCTCGGAGTTCTCTTACTGCACTTTCCTCAAGTGACTCATTGGGCTCCAGTTTGCCACCAAAGCCATTCAGCTTGCCTTCCCCAAACCCGCGCTTCTTCAGGCCGAGGAGGACCAAGTTTGCTGATGGCCGCCGCGGATATATCCTTAGCTCAGGGAACTGTGAAAGAACATACGCATTGAAGCGTTGATGACAGGTGTTGTGAATCATTCTGGTGACCTACAGGGCCCCAACACCGGACAGCCTGCCAAGAAATGCAAGGCCGTCGAAGCATCAATTGCCGGGGGGAAGCATCCTCAAGACGCACCAACCTCCCAAGGCAGCACCCTTGCAACTTCCCGCTCCCCGGCGTGGCTGCTGTTTGCATGCCGAGCGTCAACGTAAGAACCGTTTTCTCACGGCTCTCCATACTGAACAAGTTCCAAACAGCTTCAGGACTTGCCTTCTGTCTCGTAAGTCTTGCACTTACTGGAACCGCACTGTAGGTGACACTGTATCTTCATGCAGGCTCACTCAGCCAAATGCTGCAACTGGACCGTGTTTCAAACAATGCTGAAAACAACCCTGGTTTCTACAGACATTCAGCCCCAACATGCTTGCTAATTGGCGCCGTTTTTCGAGCACAGCCTGTGGACATGCTTTGTCCACGTGATAGCTGTACAACTGCACTTGCTCAACAACCGTGGCCACAGTCGTCCTATCCTAGGGAATCTGTGCCTGCCCTACGAATCCTGACCTGGATCGAGCTCCAGTCTAGGTCAGAATCTCTACCTTCGCCATCTGCCTGGCAAGCTTGATCTTGCAGTGAACGGCTTGCAAGCCGAGTGCGCGCAAGGCCTGGCCTATGCAATGTGGACAAGGCTGATGCCTGAGAGGTGATCGAATTGGCATGCGTGCAGTATCGACAGCACCTGCCTCTGGCGCCAGGGGAGCCACGGAGTCAGTGGCAAAGCAGGAGGCTGGGAGCCTGCACGTGCACATCACATAGAGCTCCCATGCCCAGTGACCTTTGCCCTGGCGGACTTAGGCGGACTTAGACTCATGGCGTGGGCCACATCTGGCGCCGCCATGAGGATTGGATGGCACTGGAGGTCTTTTGCTGAATTTCGTGGGGGTTCTGCAGCAATCTGGTTCATCAAGAGCACCAAGTTCCAACACTGAGGCCGTTGTTGCGTTTTTGCAAGCTGAAACACGCCGTTGCAGCGGCCCATCCCAGCCAAATCCACTGCCCTCTGTGCAGCCGCGATGCTGCCATTGCTCGGGGGTAGCCTGGGGAAGTTGCGAGTGGCAAAAGCACATGGTGCAAGCAGCCGTGAAATCGTGGATGCACACTTTCGGCCTTCTTGCCCGGCTCCCACAGGAGAATGTCAAAGTACATGCCGTCGAAAAATCTCCAGCCTTGGCGCTTTGCCCAATGCATCGAAGGCGCAGATTGCCAAGCTCGTGTGGATCCTGACCCGCAAGCTGAGGGCCAACGAGCTGGTGTGTGAGTTTTGGCATCCTCGTAGTACGTGATGAACGGCCCTGCGGTGCGAGGCATGTGGCAAAACAGTCCAGCCTGGGTAGCACTCGAGCCCATGCCATGTATTTCAAATCTGTGCAAAATAAATCCTGGACCCGCCTCCTGAACCACCCCCAACTTTCCAGATTCTACTCGGGACCGTACGGCTCTCTTTTGTGCCCGCAATCTTGTCTTCCCCCCCCCCAATTACAAACTCAAGCCGCTTCGATACCAACTTTCGGGACAACGAGACCATAACTCGTCAGCACGTGAGTGGAAGTACCAACTGCAAAAGATCAAACGACCTTCTCGAGCCACAAACAGGCCACCGAAGAAGTCACCATGGCAGCCAATGAAAAGAGGAAGGCAAAGGAAAATCAAAAAAAAACTGACTATCACGCACAAGCCAAGACATGCAGCAAGTCTTATCCTGCAGAAAGGGATCGGTACAATGCTTGCACGACAGGCCAGACCTGGAAAGCCAAAGAAATGAAAGCTGCAGACTTTGGGACTGCCGGGGTGGATCAAGTGAATCAAGCAAATCACTTTCAGCAAGAGTGTGCAAAGACTGCCCGCATGCCACAAGCGAGATGGCCACGTCATAAGTCCAGCAGACCCACCATAAGACAGCTGTGGGATGCCTTCATGGCGACATCACAAGGTGGGAATCCTTCTCGTGCACAAGTTGGCGATTCCCGCCATGTTGCACAATGACTTGTGGGAAGGTCTTTGGCAATATTGACGATGGCTTCCAGAACGGGCCCGCAGAAACAGCGCAGCCAAATACAAACAGCCACGGCCCCATGGTTGCATGAGTGTGCAGGTTGCATCAAGTGACAAGACGAATCAACCCGCTTGGGAACCCCACCTTTTGTCAATTGTTTTGGGGACCCCCCTCAATTTGTTTTGAAACGGAGACCGAAGCGACCTCGTTGCCATTTTGGGGGGCCGCATTTGAGTTGGAAGCACTCGGACCAACCGTAGATTTAAATCTGGGTCTTTTCCAAGTCTGGGCTTCAATGCAGGCAACCTCCTCAGCCATGCCCTCACCAAAAGGCCTGTGTAGTTGCCCATGGCATCGCCCTTTGCCCACACATGGCCTCACCAATGGCGCGTTGGGCTGCATAGGCGCGGCCAAGCAAAGCAACTCATTTTTCTGAGCGCGTTCTCATGCGCTGCTGCCGCGGATCGCTTAGTGAAAACCAGGCAGGCACTGCTGTTCCCATAAGGGATTGACCTGCCATCCTGTCACAAAGGATCAAGCTCAAGAGCCGCAGAAAGTATGCAAGGTTCAGCCAAGAGAGCAAAGTGAAAGGACACAATTCAAAAAGTGAGATTCGGTGACTCGAAGGCGTTGACGTCCCAAGGAATCAGCATACTGTGAATCTTAACCTGAGCAAGCCGACGCAATCTATCAGACCTGGTTTGCATGTGCCATCTTGCTTAACCTGACTCATATTGACTCATATTGACTCAGGCAGCGCTGGCAGTGCAAGCAAGTCGCAAGAAACTACGCGGCTCAAAGCGGCAAGCTCACATCCATAGGCCGAACCACACGTTGACCTTTCCCCCTCCGCGGTTGTCTCCGAGTGCCCTGTGGAAGGGTCACAAAGGTCGATGCGTTGTTGTCCTCGCAGGGGTTGCACGCCGATTTTTCAAAGGACACTTCATTGGCGTTGAGGTCGAAGCCCACGGTGTACTCAAAGAACAGGGGCATGCCGAAGATCCAAACTGGACCGTTCTCGCCTGTGTAGTAGTCCATGGACCCAAAGCCGGGAGAGCAAAAGCTCTGGCCATCAATGATTTCAAGCGTCACCCAAGCCCAGGAAGTCAGCTCAAATGTCTTCACTTTCCCGTCTCCCGCTCCAACCTGGAAGAAAATGGAGGGAATTTCATCGAGTCCTCCCTCTGAAATCCAAGTGGAGCATTGCAAAAGAAGATCTTCGAACTTCGCAGAACTTGGACCACCGGAAAGTCGGTTGCACCGCGGCCACTCTTTGCAAAGTTCGGCCTGCAGCATGGACACTTGATGTGGAGGACCAGTTATCAGGGTAGTCCCAGAGTCTGGAATGATTCCGCAAGGGCTCTGCATGCCTTCAGCCATTGAGCCCGGTCCGCAGAAGAGTGCGGACCCAGCAGATCCTCCGCGCAAGCCCACTGACAGACCCATGAAGCTCACGCCCCAATGCAGCTGCCCGATTTGTGGAATTGGCTCTCGAAAGGGGGGGACCTGCAAGCGCAGTGCACCTGGCTGCGCGGAGTCCTGAAAGCACATGGAGAACCGCTGAATTTGAGCAGCTTCTAGAAACAGCTCACTCGGCGCTTCTTCCGTTGCGCCCAGCGCGCGCGAATGCCTGGCGCCCTCCTTGCAAAGTTGCGGGAATAACATGCAGGTGCCCGAAGACAGCGCTCGGGAAACTTCATCGCTTCCGCCGGAAGTTTGCTCCATGACCACAGCAGATGACGTATAAGCAGCCGCGGAGCGTTTCGGCACGCCAAGGCCCAGGATGCCCTGGAAGTCTGCCGAGACATCAAGCTCTGCCCTGTTCAGCAGGAGCAACACCCCCTCAGACATGTTTGCCGTTGCAGAACCAACTGACACCATATCAGTAGCAACCGCTGTGTCCACAGTTCCACTGCCAAATGTGATTGATTCGATGATAGGCTGCTCGGAGATCAAGAACGTGCTCGACTTGCTGGTTCCACGGAAGCATTTGTCATGCAAGCCGCAGCCCGTGCCCGCGAGCTCATTGCAAACACAAGAGCTGACGATGACGTTGTCACTCCCGGTGTCCGCAACTGTATCGAAGCACTGCGGCGGTGTACCAACGCAGGTCTCGACCGTAAAGTAGGTTCCTCGCGCAGATGTCAGTGCGGCCCGGCACTTCCACTTGGAGAGTTTCGCCATCATCGAACTAGAAACCAAAACTTGTTACTCTCCCACCAATCAACGTAGAACCTGACGTTTCGGGGTGCTGGAAGACCCTTTTCCTTTTAAATGGTCCCTGTCAGGTTCCATGTTGATCGGCGGGAGAGTGAGTAAAACTTTACTTTCATTTACTTTCTACCCCACTAGGATGTGCCGCTCTGGCAGCCGCCCCGTGACAATGCAACCTGCAAATCGGACTGAACTCTCGGCGCGCGCTCGCAAAACTGCTTCGTCACGTTCCTTTCAACTGCTCTCCCGCCTTCATTCTTCAAAGGGGCGCAGGTCGGGGAAGCCTTCGAATTTGAGATGCTTGATCGGACTTGGAACATGGAGGAAGAAGTGGACTTCGTACATTCGTCTGGTGTCCTCATGTGGCAAACAAAGCTCGGCGACTCAAAACAAACATTGCACCGGCCTCTCAAGTGCTATCCAAGGGGCCATCCTCTTGCAAGCGTCATGCTTGCAAGAACTGCGCAGCACACATGCCAGCGCCACATGGCGAATATGTACACAGACTTAGCTGGTTCCGGTAAATGGGTAGAAAGTTGGCGCCTTGGCAGCTTGAGCCAAGAACATCTGTGATACCTCCTGAAAAGTACTCGCATCTCTGGATTGGCCCAAAGAATCATAAAGAGCATGGAGTCATCCAGGGTCCAAGCAATCACGGGCAGATTGGTCCACCGGGGATGGGACCTCAGCTGAAGCAAGGCGAATCCAGTCGCGTCGTCTGAGTCGAGCCGAGCTGCGGATTCCTTTCCTCGATACTCGGCCCCTTCGAGCCAGTTGGGCGGCAGCAGCCCCACGCCCATTTCGATGACCTACGGAGTGGGTGGCTCGTCGTTTTCCGGTTGGACCCACTAAGATGGGGTGGGGGGGTTGTGCTTTTGGTTTCCCTTGGAAATCCACAAAGGGGTGCCCTCAAAAAACGACACCCCCCACATCTCGCAATCGTGCCTTGCAGCTGCCTCCGGGCGTGTAGTAGTACCTCACAATCCACCCGGTTAATGAGCTCCACGGTCAGATCTCTGGGGGCATGACGTGCTGCCATTCTGGCGCTCGTTGTCGAAAAAGGGTGCATCAGTTTTCCTTCGAGAGCAATCACTCGATGCGCAGCATGGTGCATCTCCCAAGCGGAATTGACCAGCTAAACCAAGCCAAGCCAAAACGAAAGGACAAAAGTCACGGAACTCAAGGCCTGTCAATGTGAAGATTACCACCTTGCGGCCAATCGTAGAATAAATCCGTGTGGCCTGAAGCTCTGGCAAATCGCGCCCAAAGGCAAATCTAAAGCTCCCAAAGCCTGGAAGCCAACGGCTTCCAACGAGCAAGCGGTAGGCGCCCGGGCCAACTTGACCATCGCGGTGTTTTAGCATGTCCGCATGAAACCTCAGTCGAAGCATTGCTCACCCGGGCTTCGCGTATGGGGTTCTCTGATAATGTTGACCCCAAATTACTCAACCCCAGCATATGAACTGGGGGGGAGGGTTCCCTGGGTTTAGTGGGGAATCATCGCTTTTGGAGGGGACACCCCCTATAAATAAAAACTGGGGTTGATGAACAGGGGTTCCAAATAACTGAGATCCACGCACTGGCGGCCATGGAGTTGGCTCCAAGGCTGCAGCAACCGCTGCAGCCGCTATCTCAGCCCAAGTTGCTGGCCCGCCTTTAGCACCCTTGCACAAACCGCGGAAACCACAAGGTTCTCCGCTACGTGATTGCTTCAAATGAAACCACCTTGGGCTGTGGCCAAAGTTGCGACCCGTGCGTGCCACATGAGCCTGCAAGGTGCTTCAGCTCAATCATGCGGAATCTACTTGCGACTGCCCTTGTGCCCTGGCCTGGAAAAATTGTCAGCGACTTGCCAGTGGAATTTAGCTTGAACCCAAAAGGCATATGCGTTGCTGCTGCGCGGCATGCATAGACTCACCCTCCTGCCAGTGGAAACACGTGTGCTTAATTGCAGAATGGCCTGTTAAAGAACATGCTAAATCGGAAAATCAACCATGAGCCGCAACCAAGGGGGTAAAGCAGTGCCAAAAGGACGGGGACAGGCGTCAGAGGGTTGAGGACAAACACTTCTGAGGCCCAACTGGCTGTGAATCCCTCCACGAACATGGCTTGCACCAAATGTCACCCAGACCGCAGCAGACCGCAAAAAAGGCCGTTTTTCACCCGAGCAAATGCTGGACTGGGCAGGTTTCGCGCGTGTGTTTTTCAGCATGAGCAGTTGCTTCAGCACACTTTTGCATTGCGCAACATGCTGCCAAGTGCAAAGCACAATGTGTTTAAGAAAGGCTCACGCGCATCCGTGCCAACTGCCATGCATGCCGCACCAAATGGCACCTCCATTCGCAACATAATCCTGATGGCATAAGAGCCGAAGCAGTCATTGTCTTTCAGACATCCTCGCTTCCACTCTAATGCATTCCAAACATGACCAAACATGCACAACGTCTGTATAAAACGGTCAGAGGCGTTGTGGTCACACTGCGTCACTTCGGGTTGCGCAAGCGCCATGTCACCTCGGAGCGCGATGGTGTGGCATCATGTTGCATTTGAGCACAAAAGTTCAATGCTGCAACACCTGTGCCATCACTGGCTAACCCCCCCCCTTTGTGCAATTGAAAAAGCAGCAAATCGCAAGTCGAGCAGCACATAGCGGTTCCAATCAATGCCAAATCTGCCCTGGACAACCTCTAGAAGGAACCCATCCTGACACACTTTGTGAGGTTGCATGCTTGCACGTCACACCTGCAACATGGATCTCACGTACAATCTGTGTCTCTCCTGCTCCTCTGGTGGCAATTTGACAGCTGACAGAAGGCTACGTGCGTACTGCAGGACTGCAACGTCCTCCTCGCCAGCCAGTGCTTGACGCAACTTTGGCGCGCCTCTTGTTTGGAGGACTCCCCCCCCCCAAATGACGGTCTTCCTTGCGGCTTCTCTTTGAAAAACCCAAACAAGAGCAGCCTCAAAAACAACACGCCCACTTACATCCGCGGCTACCAGCGTCGCAGCACTCCTTGCTCTCAACGGCTTTCTTGAGGTCCAGCCTGGAGGTGTCGCGAGCATGAAGGCTCAGCAAGCCCGTGGCATCTTATCCAAGGCACATGCTGGAGTTGAGATTCTCCGGGCCAAACTGTTGTGCAATGAGGCCTGAGAAACCACTAAGCTAAGCTGCACATTTCAATTGGCAGGGCCCTTCTGCTGCTGGTATGTGCAGGTGAGTATCTTTCCAAGTTACGCTTAACCTTAGCACGCAACACGCAATTACAAATGCACATCCCCTACCGCAAACTGCCAGTGTCACATTGCAGCTCGGAAGCTCTCGTCAGCATATGGTCCGTGAACTTGTCAGGAATACCTATGACGAAAAGCGAATGAAGCTAATCAATCACTGCCGGCAGTCTAGCAAAAGCCAGTCTAGCCACAAAGAAGATCCACCTCACATGAGAGCAAACAAGGTGCCGTTCGCGAAGTCTGTGGATGGTGTTGTGCTCCAGAAAGAGATCGACATTGCCATGTGCTCCTTGGCGACTGGCTGCGATTCTCTTGATTACAACCAAAAAGTTCTGCCAGGCTTCCAAGTTCCGCAGCCAATGCCACCACCCATAAGGCCTCGGATGCTCAGCCATGAGCTTCTGGCTGCCTCATGTTTTCTCATGTCGGAAGCAAGGAGCAAGTACAGAAGGTCCCCAGCCTGGCGATGATTTCTATTGTGTCAGAACGGCCCGCATGCGCGCAACACATGATGGGTCCTTGAGAGTCGCGAAGTGCCCAACAGCACCAAGGAACTCTGGAAAGGCGGTGACGTCCGGATCTACTGGACTGCCAACCATGGACCTTGGCTTCAGACCCTCTAGAAACTTCCATCAATCTTCAGGACAAACAGCAGACCCGCATTGGCCCAAACAGTAGCCGTGAAATGTGCGAAATAAAGTACTGAACCCTCAATACTTCACACGTTGCTTGGCAACCAAGGCGCAGACTGCACTGTCATTTTAGTTGTGTATGGTTAGCGTGGCGTGAATTATGTGCGCAGGGACCACTGATACGTGTTTGTCGTTGCTATGCTACTACAGGTGCTGCGGGAAGAAGAAAAAAAAGACAAACAGTGCAAGAATGCTCAGACGTGTTGACATAGAGCCTTTGTAGTAGCCCAACTACAAGAACGCCAACTCCACCACCTGCAAGAGAATGAGACAAGTCCCTTCACCCACTTGCGTGCCGCGGTCAAAACTATAATATATAGAAAGTCCTAGGGTCATGGAACAATAGAAAGTCGCAGCTGTCCGCGACTTTTTTTGTGAGACATTTGGAGCTCCCCCGAACAGAATGGACCTCTGACCAAACTGGTGTCTGGAAGCCTCCGACAGGCGACTGACGATCGCAGGGGTGCGTGGTTGGAAATGGATACAATCGCTTGTAGTCAACGAAGGGGAACACCACGATCTCTTTCTGCCCTCTTATCTGCGCCAAGATGCCCAGATGCCAGATGCAATGCTTGCCAAGATTTGGGATCAGTTCCAATGTTCCAGCGCAAAGAATGCCCCCTGCCTGGAAGAAAAGATTCTCGCGCTCGTCAAAGTGAAGTGGTGTTTCCGCTCCATGCATTCCAACAAATAGTTCCTTGGTCCATAGCCCCCCTTCCCCCCCCCCCCCACCACAAAATACAATCCTTCGAGCCCTCTGAGCCTGCCAATATGAACACAATCAATGCCGTTACCGCACATCAGGCTACAAGCAGAACGCCGAAGGCCAGGAATTCAGTTGAATTACTCACAACGACTAGCCGGCCTATTGTTTGTCATCTGTGCCACCCTGCCCTGCATTCTAAACTTGAGGAGGGATGTCAAAGAATGTCAGCGGAGGGGGCTCTTCCAATTCAACTCATAGGGGGTGGGGGGAACGGAGGCGAAGGAGGGAGCCCAAATAAGCCCCAAATGAGGCCTTTATTCAGGGCTTGATAAGGGCTTGTACAAGGGCCTTTTTGGGCTGCTTCCCCCCCAGCCCCCCACGAAATTCAGCTGGCACAAAGCATCGGAACTAAGTGAGTGTCATTGGAATCCGGCAGACCCCATCCACAGGCAGCGCTGATGCGGATCGGCAGTTCCCATTTCCATGTGGCAAACTCCTCTCATGGCAAGTGTAACTGGCTGCTCAACTAAGACAACCAATGACCAAGGAATGTCAAAGCTTCTCGATCCAAAGTCACGGCTTCAGTTGCAATGTCAACCAACGAGTCCTCCGCCATCTCGCAGTGGCCAGACAAGGTCTCTTGTAAATACATTCTGGCATCAGAGCCTCACTCTTCCATCAGAAAGCCAACAAAAAAGACTGCAAAAGCCAAAAAAGCCTGAGACACAGATTTCTGGCATTTCAAACCCGTGAATCCATGCACCTTCTTCCAGGAGTTTCTCAGACTCTCGGCTGAACTCGCTGAAGGTCTCCTAAGGCCACATTCAACTGGACTGGCAACCAACTGCCGCACCAAGTTGCCTGAACTTCCTCCACCGGCTGCCTGGGTCCGCAAGAAAAGCTAGAATCGGAAAGTGCGCAAGGAGACGTCTTTTGCCAGGGAGCTGAAAGTCGAACTTGCCGATGTTCTTTTTCAGGTCAAAATATCCTCAATGGTCGAAAGCTAGTGCGCTCAAACATGTGTGAAACCGAAAAATCATTTGCCGTACACCCGCGGACAAGTTTCTGAACTTGCAAGTCGCCGACTTTTTGACCAGGACCTCACAAAACTGCCACATGGAGCAGCTGCAAAGCGCAAGCCGTCCAACAAACGTGTGTGTTGCCTTGCTTGGCCCCAAAGCAACTGGAATGGCCTGCCCTCTGTTCACGCAGCCAAACAAGACAGGTACAAGCATCCAGTGCCTTCTTGTCTTTCAACAAGCTTTGTACGAAGGACGGGCTTGCCCATTTCTCCACCTGGCACGTGTGCAATATCGCACATCAGGCTCTTTGATACTCACTTCTCTGCATTGGCCAAGAGTCAAGCTTTCTCCTTACCACTCGAATGATCCTCCTCAAAAGTGTGTAAAGTCCAACGCGGGGAGTGAGGATATCAACTGTATGGCGAAGCCTTGCCGGGCTCCCGGTAGGGCAAGAACTTTCAAGCAATTGTGGGGTTCCTTCGGGAAACATCATCCGTTCGCCGAGTCGCCGAGCAGTTCTGCGCTGGCCTCTACAATTTCAGATCCTTCTATGATAAGAGGAATGCCATCGGCAGACTGGGGCTTCATGATCTCCAGGACCTGGCTTCCATGAGGACAAGCGCCAAACTCAGATAACCTTTCCCTAGCTTCAAATACATTTGAGCCCTGGCATCCTTGTACACCAGCCCCTGCCTCATCCATGCTGGTAAACTGTATCCTCCTCACGACAAGGCACCTATGAGGGTGGCCCCCTGCGGCCTCTGCTTCCATGCGTGGCATCCAAGCAAGCAAGCCCCAGTCTCCGGATGGGCACGTACGTCTCAGGCCATCTGGAAGGAGACAGCGCCAGCGGTGTTACCTGAGAATTGTTTCGGCTGGGTGCCGTGCCCACACTGGCAGCTGCATGAAGACAGGGCACGCAAGCATTTTGAGAATAACCGCCCATTAGTAGGCGTGCAGCGTCGCTGCCCGCCTCCAAAATGCACATCACTGCAAATGCCGCACATATATGTTGCTCTTTAGCGGGTGCCTGACGCATGCGCTATGCTATGTGACAAGGCAGCTTCAAGCGCGCCTCGCCAGCTTTGACCGCCGCAAGCGCCTTGGCTGCACCCGCAAAAGTGGTCCAGACCCCTGGTGCCTAAGGCTAGCACCATGCCCCGGGTGCCGCTGGCATGAAATTCACATCATGGCGTTTCTGCGCTGCAGTTGTGGTGTCTTGTGTGCAGAAACGTGCATCTCACCAAGCTATCTGACATGCTTGCATTGCTGGCCATGCTGCCATGCTGCTGTGCTGCTGTGCTGCTGTGCTGTTGTGCTGTGGGCTGGACCTGCGAAACCAAGCTAGAGATTGCACTTGGCCGCCTTGTGCCATGCTAGGTCCTGCAATCGGCGGATCGGGTCCCTCGCTGCCACTCGCTGGACCAACTCCCAATGGCCCAATGGCCAAGCAGTACACATGGCTAGCTCGCGCCAAGTGGCCCGAGATCCCCCATAACGAGAATGCCGTGTCAAAGATCGTAGTCGAGCTTCCAACATTTCTGGGAGAGGCACGCTAAACAATATGGCGAAGCCAGCCTGTCCCAACATGAAATGAACTCCTTTGAATGCGATGTAGAACTTGAAAGCGCGAGAAAATCCAACCCGAATGGCAATCTCCGGATTGTAAAAAGGCTGGCGAGCATTCCCAAAAACAGGTCTTTGTGCAAATGACCCGCACGCAGGAGATCATGCCCAGGCAAAGGGTGGCTGGGTGTGGCCACTTTGTCGTGTACTTAAACGTGGCAAATGCGCGACTCGAACAAGTTTGCGATGGCTACCCCACCGAGAGCTCTAGTATCAACGCAAGCCTGCCTGGGTGCTCAGATCATTTTGCTTCGTTCTGCGCCCTATGGCTGCACAGTGATTCCCTCGTGTCATGCCTCCTAATCCTATTTCAGCTTCTGCTGAGCCTCCCACACCGAGAGCAAGAGAACATTAGTGCTAGGCTTCAAGAGCCTAGTGACCAACTTTGCAGTCATTGCCTCTCGTGTTCTTGCCCTATCGCAAGACTCGATAACCACTCACAGGGCGAGGTGCGGCAGTCGCCAACAAAATCACCTCCTGGACATACTTCGAGACTCCCATGCTGATTTCCCTTCCGCTCGTGATGCCGCATGCTGCGGTAAACAATGCAATCGAGAGGCTTCTTCTTACCCCCCTTGGCGCTGCGGCTGCTTGCTGGTGCGCTTTTGCCGCCTGCAAGTGGCAGCAACCTGACTAAGGCGCCTACTACCTGCATCAGCACGGGCTTTCGTCACAATAACCGGCCCTTTTGCACTCGTATGAACCTGCTCAACCAGCTCCGGCCTGCCATCACCGTGTAGGCAATGCCCCCGATGATTGCCAAAAAGAGCACGGCAGCTATGGTGCTGTACCAGGACCCCTGTCGGAGTCACAGCCGTGGCCAAAGCGCAAACTGGATGAACTGGCCTTTGGCTTCGCGCCTTTGGGCGCTGATCCTCGGACGCGGGCATTATACGAAACATGAGCGAGCGGCCCATGCTATTGTTGACCCCGACGTAATACACCTCTGTTGATTGGTCTGGGAGTGTTCCCCTCCAAAAGTGATGAATCCCAACTAAAACCACCGACACCCCATTAAGAAACAGGGGTTCAGTAATACGAGGTCGACCTTTTTGCGGATGCTACTTGGGCCACCGGCTCGAGCTTGAAGCATCTGCGGCATCGGGGTCCTCGCCCGCCTGAAACATGCTGGCATGCAAAGACATCCAGGCGCATCTGCGCCTCAATCCGCCGCTTGCGCTCCCATGCAGCCTGCACACGCCAAGCTCAAACTTCACCATTGCCATTGCCTCGCCTGCTGCAGCCTTTCACGCCTCTTCTGCTCGGCTGCCTGGCGCTTGTCCTCCTCCTTCTGAGCAAGCCTAGAAAAACACACACACACACACACACACACACACACACACACACACACACACACACACATCTGGCATGCAAGTTCATTAATGTCTGACGCTTCGAGCAGCTAAGTTCCTGGCATTGCTTTATACTCCTGCAACGCATTCCAGTGTCTCATCGTGTCCGACCCGGGCGTGCGGGCCTCGGGGCTTTCCTCCTGAAACTTTTGCAGCTCCCTCCTCTCCTTCTCCTGCGACGCTGGAACGGACTTGACGGCACACCATGACAATACGCAAAGCTTGCGAGGGCTGCTCAAAACCGAGTTCCCGAAAGTGGGCCATTAAGAGCAAATCCATGGGGGTCTGAACATTAACGAATACCCGTGATACCGTCAGCACAGGGAGAAGTACAGCCATACACTTGGCAGGCCTTCTGTGTGAAAGGTCGCTAAGGCGGCACATGTGTTGCAACGACCTCTGCTGTGCATTGTTCATTGCAGCTTGCATCAGCGACTGGGCCGTCGCAGGTCGGGCTGATTGCGCTCATCCCGCTTTGATCTCGCTTTGGGAGCATATTCAAGGGGAAAAAAAAGGAGAAAAAAAAAAGAGAAAAAAAAAGAAAAAAAAAAGAAGAAAAAAAACATTCTTGTGACTTGTCCAGGAGCCATGCATTGCCAGGTGCATCGCTAGCGCAAAGCTAGCACGGAGCTTCGGAAATCCTGCTTGCACGGCAGCCTAAACGCGGCATTGTTCAGCAGGCTTGCAACAAGACGGGGGCGTGCCGTTCTCTGCAAGCGGCGTGCGGGCAGTGCCGCTACGTTTTCGAGACCTGACTACAACCCCCGCATGTTTCCGACCGGGTGTCTTCGACTCCGTTTGCTTTGGGTCGCTCGCCTTGTTTGTCAACTGGAAAAGCACACGTCGACTGCACTTGGGCGCGTGCGCAGAAACGCTAGCACGACTATCTTGATGCCATGAGAACTCAGCAAATCTGCGGCGTATTCTGGCAATGCGCTTTCGATGGCGATGTAACGTCCTACATGGCCACCATGAATGGACAAAGGACGAGAGCTGGCAGAGATAGCCCCTCGATGCATGGCAGGGCACAAGCTCAAAGGTGCAACACGCGCAGCCTGTCCTTCTTTGCATCTTGTTCCTGCAATAAAGTGTGGTGCTCGGACAACTTTCTAGCATGGCACTACTTGCACAGGCTCCGCCTTCATCTTCATTCTTTCAATGGCATCCTCCCGCCCTTGCTTTCGCTTTGCTCTCCACTCTTCTTTTTCCAAGCGATCCTGCAAGGAGCATGCTGCTTCTTGGCCCACCCTGTATGTCGACTGTGCTCCTGCTTCACAACAAGGAGTCCGAGTCCCCACAAAACTGATGCGACAAAGCTGCGAAGAGAGCCTTTGGTTTGCTGACTTACCCCTGCCCTCCACAATCACTCCAATATGTTTCGCTTCTCTCGTCTTTTAGGGCAGTCTTAGTACAAGCACACCCCGCCACGCACAAATGGCTTGACAAAATGCAAAGAAGTGCGCCCGTTGCTTTGACCCCGGCGAATCCTGACATCGCTTACCCACACAAATCCACAGCAAGCGCCACGCACGCTCACGTCAGGCAGAGCATCAGCAAATACATGATGCAGTATGCTCCAAGGCAAGCGATCGAAGGAGCAAGCCTGCCACCCTTTAGGCAGGCACCCTCGTTGCCAAGCTTGACATGAACTCTTTACATGCTTCACAAGCGTGGCTCCCTTGTACAATTTGCCGGCCTCCTCGGACATACCCAGCTCATCTGTCACGGGCTCTATCGCCTGGAATCGCTCTGCGAGTTGACAGCCCCAATGCTTTGCCAGGAGCTGGCCTCCTCTGGAAGTGCCCATTGCATCACCTGATTCGAAAAGCAGGCAATGGCAACAGTGTGTCACGACTCAGGGACCCAGCCGACTGACATTTCTCCGATATGTCCTGCGCATGCGATCCATGACGATAGACACACTGATTCAATTCGTCCAACAACTCTTGCTGCCTCGTCTGACACCCGATACTTCACCAAGCAGGGCATCGTGTTCTCCGCAAAGAATTCCTGCAACGTGATGCACGTTTTGTGCGCGTACACATGCTCACAAACGCGCACACGCACACGCACACGCACGCACACGCACACGCACACGCACACCCACCCACACACACACACACACACACACACGCAAACAAACAAACAAACAAACAAACAAACAAACAAACAAGCAAACAAACAAGCAAACAAGCAAACAAACAGTCAAATAAACAAACAAACAAACAAAGACAGAAAAACCAACAGACAAAGAGGCAGACGGACAGACAGACAGACGATCCGAACCGAACCGAACCATGCGACCAAGCCAACCCCCAAACAACCCAACAAACAGGAAAAAGTAACAGCCAAAACAAAACAAACCAAACAAACCACACAAATCACGCAAACCAGACCAAAACCAAACAAACCCAACAAACCCAATAAATCCAACAAAACCAAGCCCAACAAACCACACAAACCAACCAAAAAAAGGAACGAGCAAACAACCAAACAAACTTGACACCCAGAAAAACAAGGACATGTAAGATGAAAAGGACGTCCAAAAGGGAATCTAAGCCGGGTCCCTCAGAATTTCAACATGGCGTGTGAATTTCATTGGAGGCAACCCCGCGACGTTGTGATTTTCTGTGGTTTTCCTTTTGCACCCACCCCAAAAAGGGGGGTACCCTACAGAGTGGGCAGGGTTCTGGTCCTTGACATTCATTCCCTTTGTCTTTCCATGAGCAAAACGCGTGCCTGGAGTCCACCGAAAGCTGGCGTCAATTTCCAGAAGTGCCAAGGCTGCCTTTTCAGCCGCCTGCTAACAAGTCCTCTTAGGCATCCCGCGCCAGTCGAACCCCCTGCGCCCCAATGCGCAAAATGCAGCGGTGTCTGTTTGTTTGTTCGTTTGGTCTGGTTTTTGTGTGTTTGTCGTTTGTTCGTTCGGTTGGCTGGCTTTCTGCTTAATGGCTCATTTATCCTGAAAGCTGGCCTCGGCTTGCTTCAGACTCCTGCCTGGGCGGGATCACACTGCGACGGTGCCATGCCCAGGCAAACGAACAGGCAAGCAGACAAACTCACCAAACTCGCCCTCCCACCCAACCACCCACCCAACCAATCAACGAACCAAAGAAACAATCAAACACACCAAGACGGCTTGGCCTTAACCAGTCCTCATCGCAAAGCTGCTCTATCTCATCAGCGCAGGCCGTGTTGAGTGCCATGAAATCCGTACCTCGATGCAAAAAGGCTTGCAAAGGCGGCTGCAAGGACCGCGCAATCAACAAGCAAGCAATCGGCGAGCCTCACATTTCTCGCGCCAAGTAAGAGCGGCACATTCCGAGGAGATCTCGGTTGGCGTCTCATGCTGGCCTTGGTCCTTCCAGAACGGAACACCGGCCATCAAATGAAAGAGCGAGAGAGCGAGAGAGGAGAGCTGGCCTTGAGGCATTCTGCAAGCTCGGACTTTGGGCCTCACGGGTGCAGCTCACGGCGGAAAGGACAAAAAAAGACGGCTCTGAGGAATGCGCTGTCGGGGCATGCCGCTGTGATTTCTGCCTGCCAAGATCGAATCTTTATGTCAGGCTGCTGTCTTCAAAGATGCAAGCTGGTGGCCTCGCAGGGGAAAGCTGCTGCGACGGATGCTGTCCAGCTCACCAGAAACAGCCGAGGATACCAGGCCATGGTCCGCATGGCCTGCAAGGACCTTGCAATCAACGACACGGCAAACCTTTGTCGGGCAGCCGTGTTCGCTTGGGCAATGGTCAAGGGCCAAGCGCCGCCCGTCCATCCAGGGGGACAACTTTGGAGCCACGTGGCGATAGACAGAAGGGCAAATGCTTTGAGAAGAAGCCTTTGCAATCAAACGCGCCGCGCGAGGGTTTTTGCGACGCTGTTTCGCACTGGCAGCGCGCTCCTCCGCGGTGCTGTGATTTTTTGGCGACTCTGGCACCTTTGGCCGGAATCCTCTGGCAGCCACATTCACTTCATGTTGGCCAACCTCCAGGACCGAATCTCTTTCGGCACCTAAGCAACCAGCACGTTGTCTCATTCAGATCTGGTGCTCAGCTTGGTACTCGTCGACTGCAGTGATGCTCAGCAATGCAGAAAGTGGAAGAAGCAAGCACGGCCTGCAAATGCTCCAGGTGCTTACACTGCAGACTGGACGTCTCGCCTATCACTCTGACCCCAAACCTCTGAGCATCCAGCCACCACGGCAGCAACTCCATCCTTGCAGGGGCTGCTGCCGGCCCAACTTGCACAAAACCGGAACTGCGCTGTTTGCTGGGCAGTGGCCAACAGAAACAATGCCATTCTGCTGGTTGCCATGTCACCTAAATGCCTTAAATGCCTGGACTTTGGACATTGTCAGTGCTCAAGACTTGCCTGCGCTGGGCCGGCAAATGGCTTGCGGCCTAAAAATACTTCTTACCTGGTTTCATAAGACACTGCCGGTGAACCGCGGATTGAACAACAAGCACAATCCGCGCGTGCGGATAGATGTTATGAAAATCAATGACAACTATAATTGAGCTGCCTACCGTCTATAATCGAGCGCGAACGCCTGCCGAGGCCTCTCATGCAGAATTCTAGGGGAAGGGGTGTAATCCTTTTGAACTTCAAGAAAGCAAATCTTTTGTCTGGCACAAGGCTGGTGAGTTTGCGTTTGCCATCCAGAGCTCTAGCTGCAGTCATGGCTCTCGAAGGCTTGGGCGAGCCATGAAGTGTGCATCACCTCGAGAAACAAACGCACGGCCACTGGGATGTGAGCACCTTTCACAACCAAAAACGCCGGCCAAGTTGCCACAAGGCTCAGGATAAGCTCACACACCAAGGTGATGTTGAGCAAGCTGTTTGGTGACCCATACCCACCTTTGAGAAGCTCCAGGCATATGCCGAAAGCAGAACTCGTTTGTGCCGTTCGCCTGGGGCTGGCGCCTTCACCGAACAAAGGCTGGCGCTTCGTTGTGGCGCAAAGAGCCGCGGCCACCTGGCCCAGGACAAGGGTCCAATAGTAGACAGTCCTTGGCGCGACGGCAAGTCGAAGGAAGGCTTCGCGCTCGGCACCGACTCGACTCAGCTAGCGACTCGCGACTCGCTTCTGACTTTGGGCCGTCAATTTGGCGTTGGGCTGGTTTGTGCGCGCGTGCGCGTGCGTGCGCCCGTGCGACAGCCCTCACAAATGGCACAACTGCACGAGTACGTGACAAAGGGACAACTGCGCTTGACCGTCCAAGCAGCATGCCGCGTCTCTCCGTAGTCCTCTCCTCGAAGCAAGCAACGACAATGAACAGAAGCGCGCCAGGGTTTGCACAAACTATGTTCGCTTGACATTGCTGTTGCCTCAAAGTTCAGCGCTTGGTAAACCTTGAAAGCTATCGTGCTCAACAATGGCTGCTCTTGTGCACTCCAGGACTCTTCTTGCGAGTACTCGCTGAGAGGTTCATGTGCTTTCAGTAGGCTTCCAATCCCAGGAGTTGCGAGGAAGTACATCAACCAGCCTCAGGGTCGACAGGTGGGAATCTGGGATCATCCATGGAAACGGGCCGAGGAGCAAAAGACACATTGCAAGGAACCCATGTAGCCGTAGCTAAATGCCAGGATCCTGCTCCCGACCATCCGCTCCTGGGATGCCATCTGCAAACGGAAGCCGAACAATTTGTGATGACTCTGACTCACTAAGCGCCTTGCACGCTGAGGATGTCGAGGCGGTCTCTGCATGAGTGCGGCCTCAGCCCCTTGCGCCGCAAAGGCAACCTAGGCTCCCATCTGGTGGGGTGGTTGAATCATTGGACCGAACAAACCAGACGCGGCAACAAACCGATTTGTTCCAGGTGGCTGCTGTCCAAATGTCAGTGCCAATGTCAATCAGCAGGACCTGTATGCACCCCCTTCCGAATTCGCATTGCCCATCGGACCGCTTGCTTGCTTGCAAGGCCTGCACTGCTGCGAGCGCCAAGGGCATCCCAAATGCCTCCATTAGGGACGGCATAACTTGCGGCCTGAGCAGGCAAGGCAAAGGAAATCCTGCATCCTATCTCCCCATCAGAGAAAGAGTGTCGCACAGTATTGCCATGGCACAGCTTAGAACATAGTGTGTACATGATGGACTTCTGAAGGTTCTCGCCTGACGCAGCACCGCTAAACTGGTCACAACCAGCGCAAAAACATAACACCTGCCCCTCCCCCATTCAAAAGCATCACAATGAATTGGAGCACCATGAAAAGTTTTGGACGTAGGCATGCCGCGCCAGAACACGTCAGCCCAACCAACACAAACTAAGCGCGTAGACACACACACACACACAGGCAACATCGCCCTGCACAGCACACTTACCTGCGACAGTTTTTGCGCTGGAGCAAACAAATCCCGGTCAAGCGGTCGAGCAATCCAGGCATGAAGCGGAAGCCATCAAGCCATCTTCCGGTTTCAAGCCATTCTTATCAAGCGTCCCAAAGAAGGGCGAACAAAACGGTTCCCATGTAAGCTTGCCACCATGACGTGCGTGAGCTAAGCTGGAAGTTTACAGGGTCACGTGACACGTGGCACAAGAAGGCGTATGGATCACCCAGTAGAGGCATGGATCACCTCTTGCGTTGGACCAAACACTCACAGCTGGTTCTGACCCAAACCGCTTGTATGCCGGCCAAGGCGCTGGAAAGCCTTCCCTGCTCCATACCATCGATGGCCTCAAGATTGAGCACATTCACTTTACTACCTGGCCACCTTGCACAGCTATGCCGAAGCAAGTGGCTGAAGAGAAGTTGTCGTCCAAGAGAATGATGTCAGCTGCATCCTGCACTCAAATCTGCTTGCTGACGCTACAAGCATGGCACAAACGGCTCGGCTCCTGGGCAACTGACGTCCCTCGCAATCCCATTGCTATTCCAACCTTCAAGCAAAATGGAAGCCCAACATCGCAGGAAACATGTAGCATGGCACACTCATGAAAGCTTTAGGTTCAATCGAATGCCAAACAAAACAGACTCCCCTCACAGTCAAGGAGTATGACGGCCTCCGCTTGCTTCAGCGCAGGTGCATCGTTCACTCCGTCACCAGTCATGGCCACGATGTCGCCCAAACCAGCTTGACCGAAGTGTTGATATGCCTCTGCAGGGATGTGTGAGGAGCCAAGCTGCACGAGGCAAACAACCGCCGGCCTGCACAATGACACGCTTGTGAAGCGGAGAGACACGAGCAAAGACCCTGCGCAAGATGGCAAGATACAAAATCAGCAAGTGAGAGCACAAGCTGGATACTCGGCAGCGTTTGCCGCAATTGCGCATAGCAAATCCAAGAAAACGCAAAAAGCATGCGTAGATGCAACAGTGGGTGGCGGCAAACCAGTCCAGCCGGACAAGCGCCAACTCTAAACAGCAGCCATTCATGCGTCCAGGCAATGTGTGACAGGCAAGTGGCACAATCCAGTGCAAAATACACCCGTGCATCCCCCACTGAACCACCCCATTTTCACCCGTATTGTATGATGGGGAACGGGACCGGAAGGCCTTTTTTTTGCCTGAATCTCCCCGTCCCACAAGATATACCTCAAGCAAAGCCTCTTCGAGGCAGGGTACAGTCTGAACGAAACAAGCGACTGTGCGTTGCTTTCGGCACTGCAATAGACTGTCAAGGCTGAATGCGTAATTATACAATTCATCAAGCTGCTTACCTGCCAGATTGCTTGCCACGGTTGACAATATAGAAAATGACGCTCTAGAACTTTTGCAGTGTCAAACATGCACTGGCTGCCAAATTCCTGGGCATGGCTTGCTTGTCATGCCCGGTGTGCAGCGCAACGCGACCACGGCAAGATCAAGCGCCACTTGGAAACAGCTCATGGGCCTTGCATTCTCGACTGCCTGCCGCCAGAACACCTGCAACGGATGCGAGTTGCACACCTGCTTATCACAGGCGAGCAGCCTGCACGCTCGCATCGGAAGCCGTGCTGAAGCCGTCCTCCGGAGGCAAATGTGCATCCAAGTCCTGGGCGCAATTCTCGAGAAATGTCGAGGAACGGTCTTTGGTGCTTTCCCATCAACCAGCTTTTGCAATCTTAGAGTACAGTACCCCCTGGCTTCGTCGCGGATGGAAGCCAGCCCCCTTTGCAAGGGCAACTGCTGCGACCTACACTTCTTTCGGGACAAGACCCCTTCGCCAAGTTATCGGTTCCCTTGTTGTCTGATGTTCACTTGGGCCACATAATGCTAGTTGCCTCGGCATCCTGCAGCTATTATTTCAATGGCCGTCTTGCATCCGGGTGACTACGCCTTGAAATACCTTCGAGAGCAGCGTGCTCACTTGACACTCAATAACGGCAAGTGCCCTGCCTCGAAGGAGCTACTGACCTCTGGCATGATGGACAGCTTCTTTGCAATAGCTTGTGCTGTGGAGGGGTGGTCTCCTGTCACCATGACCACCTGGCACGTCTGGCACGAGGATCAACACTTGTCCTTGCTATTCACCCTGCCTTGACCCCTGCATCCCGGCATTTGGCAACAGCCTCCTTGACTCCACGCCGAGGCGGGTCCTGTGCAAACTGCCCAGGGCAATGCGCGCCCACCCTTAAAATGGAACCTCACACCCAGGTCCTCAATCGCGAAAAAGCCAAGGAGGTCATAACCGGACACCGGGAAGTTGCAGTCGGAAAATTCGCACCCTGATCTTCACGGCACGAGTGCTGGTGAGTTACCCAGAAGTGCCTTGAAAGTCTTGATCGTCAGGCACTTCTGCCGCAAACAGCCGGCGCTGTGCCAGCCCAAGCACACGCAAGCCCCTGGAGCACTCGAGGACTCACGTGCAACGCAACTGCCCACCAAGCCTGCCATACAGATCGCCTCACAAGCTGAGCAGGACTGCAGCGCAGAATTTGAATGAGCGAGCAATCTGCTGATCGAGAGCAACGTGGAGTTGTTGGCAGCCAGGTGACTGAGTGAGGATTGCAGCGAAGAGCTCGCAGCATGTTCGCCGCACACGTCCAGGATCTTTTCCGGAGCACCCTTCACTATGACTTCAAAGGGGTAATCCTGCCGGAAACTGCCACGCATACAAAATGAGCAAGCAAACTTATCGAGCCTCTCCATGCGCCAGCTTGTGCACCTGATGGCACTTTGCTACATGTGCTGCGCAAATAGTAGCAAGTCAGCCAAAGCCGAAAGTTCAAGCTTTGAAGCCGTGGTTCGCTCTCGTCTTGCAGCTTCCAAGCATTGGACGGTGAGCATCCACTTGTTCTCCGAACTGAAAGGTATTTCGAAGAAAGCCTGTCTTGCACTGTGGCTGAGGCATAAAAAGAAGCAAGAAACATGCGCCTGCTCCGGCTCCGCGTCCTGAAACGTCATTCCCAGCCTTGCAGGTGTCTAGCTGACATCACTCAGCTCACTGCCATGCACTCCAAGAGCCGTAGAAAAGGAAACCAGTGCAGCCTAACAGTGACTATTTGGCTGTGGGTCAAAACCAATGGTACCATTTTGGGGTAATTGCACCACTCATTTTAGTCTATTTTAGTGGGGACTGGGAGGTTCACTCGGGGGGTAAGTGCTTTTGACCCATGGCCATTTATGACTGTTGGCAGCTAGATGCCATTGAGGACCATGACAGGCTCTAAATCGAGATAAGTGCCTGGCATTGCAGCGGCTGCCTTGAATATGGCGACTTCCGTCGGGGACCCGACCACCTGGCCAAACAGGTGGTATCTTCTAATCCTTCTGCCAACCTGGGGACCAAAGAGAGACAGCAAAGAGAGGTAAGACAGGAATGCTGGCAGTGGACATACAGCCTAAACGGTAATGCTTTAATGCTTTGGGAGGACATGTACTGGACATAAACCCTAAATGGCAATGGACATAAACCCCTCTTTAAATCATGAGCAATGGGACATGCAATCTTACCCGCAAGGCTTGCCAGGTCTTCTGGCCTGGCTGGGCTTCCAGAAGTCCAAAGCAGAAAGTTAGACGCTGGCGACACTGGCATCTAAATCCATCGATACTCCCGGAACGGTTGAGACATTGGCCCAAGTGGAGCTGGCTTTGTGCAGCGAGATCTTGCGCCATTTTCTGTGGACTTGTGAGTCGTTTGGTCTTTGTCGCAGCCTGCATCCACTTGAGAAAGGCTCATGGATCTCAGCAAGGCCACTAGAGCCGAGGACAGAATTGATTTCCACCTGGCCAAAACTGCCGTCACCTAAGCATTTGATGACGGAGCCTTATCACTTGCGTGTGTTCAGTCAGCTGACCGGCTGACCGGGTAGCATTTCATGTAGGCATGATAGTCAGTCGCTTCTGATAAGCAGTCGGACCGGGGAGTTCGTGTGCCTGGCGTGTATTCAACCATGTGCAGTTGACCTTGCAGTTTGCGACATTCGCCTGTGTCTGGGCTTACCAATTGAACAGAGTTGTTGTAGTTTGCCTGTCGCCTGAAATTCACTACGTCCAACCTGCCTTCGGTACGTTGACTGGGGATTCAAAGCAAAAGCTAATCTGCAACTCAAAGCCACATTCCTGGAACATCAGCCTCAATGGGTGATTAATCTCCAACATTCCCCCATGCAAGATACCCAGACCAAGCACTGAATATTCGACCACTAGAATGCCATCTAATGCTACCCCGCTTCTCATGCCACTTTGCCCCCTTCGCCTCGCGGGCGGCTGGCAACACCTCACTCCATAGCATGTGCTTTCGCTTCCCTTCGGCTCGATGGCGCCTGAGCCTTGTTGTTTCGCAGCCCCGCCACGGCAAGAGCAGTCAGCCGTTCATCCTTTTTGACCGCTTCGGCCTGTCAACATGTAAGCAAGACAGCCAGCAAGCACGCAAGCAGCAAACAAGGCACTTGCCTCCAAATCATCAGGACTGAAAAGCGCTGCCTGCAGTTCTTGCAACACAGCCCGCACTGACGCGAATTGTTCAGCTGTGCTTTGTGAATTACACCGCCTTATCCTTAAGCGGTATCAGGATGTGCTGCACCTGAACATCTCTTTGGAAACCACAAATCCGGGTGCTGTATCCCATAATGTCCAATACAATGATTGCAGGAGGCAACGTGTGGGAACTTTTGAAAACACCGCGTGGGCTTGGAAGACGCAGCCCAACCTGCATCACGCCAGTGGTAAGAGTTCCAGTTTTGTCAGAGCAGAATGTGGACACACCTTGGGCAACGAAAGATGCAGCTGCTTCGACAAGGATGTCACAAACTTTGCTCATTCTTGGATGTGGCTGCCAGGACTGGGGCTCTCGCAGCCTAAGGACTCGATGGCATCCAGCTTCTTGACCACCACGTTGATCCTGCAGATCTTAACGTGGGCAAGCGACATGCATAGCTGGCATAGCTCGAACCAGCTGGGTCACACTGGCAAAAACGTCAAGCCCTTGCCTGGACATCCTTCTGGATGCGATCCTTGGCACGGCCACCAGAAGCGGCGACCAAGCCACTTGGACCATTGGACAGGCTGCATCAATGAGAAGGTCACGGTCGGCAGCAGCCCTTCAGGCACCTGAAACGGTGCAAAAGGCCGAGCAAGATCGTGCGGCATTTTCCACCCCAATTACATGGCCGCAGCAACTGCATGCATCGAAAATTCCCCGTATGAAAGCCGGCTCAGAGAAACTGCGCTCATCTTGAATTGCTTGGAAGTGCATCAGCACGTGCCCCTGAACACCAAAAACTCGAAGCCTGCGTTGCGGCCAACTGTGTCCTCCAACTGTTGTCATCATAACAAAACTGTTTTTCTAGACTGCGTTGCCGATATGTGAGAGGATCATATTTCAAATATTGTTCTGGCTTGTTTATCCGAAATGTGGAGGATGACTTCTTCGAGCCTCATTTGTTGCGGGCATTGGGGTGGGGGGGGGGGAACTGGGGGGTAGCCAGGCTTTCTATCCAAAACCAAATGGTACTACTTGCTTCTGTACGCCCAACTCCCATCCTTCGCCAATGTCCATTCCCAACGTAAACCCGAAGTTCTCCTTGACTGCGACCTTAACCCCGAACGCCCAAAACCTACATGCCTAAACCGCTAAACACCAAAGCCCTGAACGCAAGCCTTGCACCGAAATCCTAAAACCCTAAACCGAGAGCCTAACCCTAAACCTGAGACCCTAACCTAAACCCTAACCCTAAACCTAAATCTACGGAGAAAAAAGAAACTTAACGCGAACCTTACACCGAAACAGCTCAAGGCTAAACCCTAAACCTGAATCTAAGCCCCACCTCAAGCATCCTGCAAAGCATTGGTCTGTGGCCTGTGGGGACCTTGATCTAGTGGGGAAGCGAGACATGTGCAGGACATTGAACATGTGCCGTTCTTTCCCAAAACGAATCTGGAACACTGAAACCTGGACACTGTTAACACCAGATTGTACTGCGCAATATAAAAAGGGCCCACTTCAAATCAGCCAAATACACATAATTTGGTTAACACGCAAATAAAATATGAAGTGCCAAGGATACGCAGTTGCCACAGCTCCTGTGTTAATGAGCTTGTCCGCAGAATGCATCACAGCAAACAAAAAATACGACCCCTGACTCGTTGACGACCCTACTGCATTTCAGAAAGCGCCTTTCATGGTCGAAACGCACGAAAGCTTGTTTCAGCAGAAAAAAGAGCAAGATGAGGAGAAACGTGTTTCCTTTGGTCAGAACATGCCCCGAGAAAAAGACATAAACACAATCAATGTGTGGCCGTAACTTTTACTTCATTCAGACATTGCCAAATGAGAAAGTAATCAAAGGAATCAACTGTTCCAGTGTGACAAGCAATCGCCTCCAAATGAATGAACACAAATGAAGCAATGACCCTGCCAGAATAATTGCATAAAGGAAAAGACAAACAAACAAGGAAAACCATTCATCACAGAGGGACCTTGGACACCAATTTACTCAGCAAAAGTCAAGCAATATGAATCATTGATGTATTGCACTACTCTAAAATGGCCTCGAAATAACATCAATGAAATTCCTGAACGCCGTCCAAAGGGAGCTTTCTCCCTCATTCGTTTGACTCGCGGCGGTCGTTTGGAGCAAACAAGTGGTTTCTCGTGGCCGCCTTGCGCAGAATCGGAACCAACACAGCATTGACAGCTCCCTGAACCGTGCCTGCGTGAACAACGTCGTGGCACAGTTCTCTAAGATTTCCTGAGAGTGTCACCGCTTGCACACCACGTCTCACCTAACAAAGCATCAGTAGTTCATCCAAGACTCTGCAGCGCTGCGCTGCCTCGGGGCAATCCTCGGCACTTGAATGAAGTGCACGCCAACCCTAGGCTTGTCAAAATATTGACTTGCCGAAGCAAAGGCAAAGCTGGACGAAACGAAGGCATGCGGCTGAAAAGCAAACACGCAAGTGCGATCCAATTTTGCGGCTGCCATGCTTCCTCAATGCTGGGTAGAATGCGCTCTTCCAGCCAATCGTCTGCGGAAGCTGTTGCTTTCTCGGAATTTCGCGCCAGCCAATCGTGCGACAAGGACTGCTCAAGAAGCACCAGCCCATGGGCGGGAGCCAAGTACGAGGAAAGGTCAACGCAGACCTTTCCTGCCACAGCAGTACGCAGATTTGACATGGCCAGCTGGCCACTAAGAACAGCCAGCGCAGATCCAACCATGAATCTGATCATGTGGTATAGGAAACCATCACCTTTGATACGGATGCAGGTAAGATGCCCTGAAGGTCGACACTCAATGCTGAAAATCCGTCTGTAGCAAAGAGATCGCATCGCCCTGTGAACGGGCAGGCTAGAAATGCAATCCGTCTTCTCTGCGCGTTTCCAATTTTGCACCTGGCGGGCCCAAACTTGAAGCTCCTGACTCTTCTGAATGTTCTTCTTCAACCCGTCCAGTTTCTTGATGCTCGTAAAGTTGCAAAAGCAGTGACGTCCAACAAACATCTGAAGGATCTCGTGCAAACCTGCAGCTGCGCTTGTGGGAACGTAGTACCCATACTCCCTCGACACGGCCTGCCCGGGACCCCATGAAGCGCCAAGTGGCTTGGGGAGCATTTGATGCACACGAATGCTGCGCGGAAGGAGTGCAAACAACTCGCCCGGATCGCTTATTGCAAGTTTTGGCGTTGCTAGTTTGAAACTCCGAGCGCTGACGCCGCTATCCACTCTGCTCAAGGTTACCCAATCGCTTGGTTTGCTGGAAAAGCCGAGGCCATCTGTGGCTTTGATGAATTGTCCCAGAACAGTGGGCCGCAAGGACTCCGTTCTCGCGTACTGCGACCCAGAAAAGCTACCATCAAACCCAATGTCCAGTACAAATATTCTGGCAGCAGGTGGTGATGGCCAAGCGACTCCCAAAGCCGCAGTATGCCAATATGGATCTGCTTTGCCACAATCATGGTCATCACACGTGATTCTGCGAACCACTGAACAAGGAAGCAAGAGCCCCTGGGACAAACAGCCGCTACCGAAGTATGACGGGCGCACAATGTTGTCACTCTGAAGCAACAAGCTTTCCCATCCTGATGCAACTGCCAACTTGTCTGGGACCTTCGCGCCAACCACTATCAGGAACGCACGGCCTCCGGCTGCGAACTCACCAGCGCGTACGACGACGGAAAGCGTGCATCCGCAGTCGGAGTATTCGGGGTCCTCCAAAGTAGCGATTTCAAAACGGCCAGCGCTGCCAGCGTGGCTCTCCAGAGCTCCCACTTCCACATCAAACACCAATGGACGGCCTGAGCATCTTCGGGGCAGCCTTCCACGTGCAAAACCGAGTGCCGGTAAAGCCAGCCATGAGCGTAGGTGTCTTGAGCGCGCTAGGCCTAGGCGTTCAGGTCGTGGCACCAAGCCGGGAACATGAGCCGCTGGCATGCAACACCGTTGCTGCAAGCTGCCCATGTGCGGTTCATGGAGCCGATGCAGAGACGTTCGTGCACTCTGGACTAAATCCTTGAACCTCTGGGAAAAGCCCCCCATTGTGCCTTGTAAACTCGGCCTCACCTCCATTGCTCAGTGCTGTCCAGCATCAACTCCTTTCTTCTGCTTGAGCCGCCTGCAGTGATTATGGGATACCTGGCCCATCTAGACTTTGAGACACCCATTTGGTAAGGGCCAAAAAGATGATACTTTTTGTCGTCAATCCACACTCTGAAAAATTGCCTATGCCAATATGAGCTTAGGGACAGCACTTAGCTTCGGGAAATCGCCCATGGTAGGCTTGAGGGGGGTGTCGCCCAAGTGCTGGATAAAGTCTGTTGAGCCACTGCTCGAAGCATTTGCAACGACTATCGCAGCCAAGTGGCAAATCAGCGAATAGAACGCAGCTAGCGAGGCCTATGGCTATCATTGCTATCGTGTGTACCTCATCCATTCCGGGTTCTGTGGCATATGGAAAACTGTCAACCCCAACAGGCGGGGATGCAAAAACGTGATCTACTGGCTGCCAAGAAAGCATCTGAAAATTATTCGGGGGAAGCAAGGCACAAAGTGCTCGATCTGGATTTCCAGGGATGATCTCGGCGGCTTGTTCTTCATGGTGCTCGCAATGCGGCCTGACAGCCCAGGCCCACAAACACACACAACATGCCGCACTGCGCTATCCGCGCCTAGGAAAGTTTGATCTCCGGTTGCGTAGACAACGCAGGTCGCAGTGCCCTTGAGAACTGCAGTTCCGAAGAAAGCCAAGCATCGAGCCTCAGGGTCAAATCCGACGCTTCACGGCCGAGGCTTTGTAGACTCACTGGTCTACTCCGCAAGCTTCCGGCCTCCGTCGCTGGCATTGATGGAGGCTCAGCTTTGTGGGAGCGCATCTCCGGCAACGTCTCACCAGTGAGAGCCGAGTTGTCCACTTCCATGTTGCTGCAGTGCAGGATCCGAACATCTGCCGGAACTCGCTGACCAGCTTTGAGATAAATGATGTCACCGACGACCAGCTCTTCGGGCTCCAAATTCACGCTAGTCCGCGCGCGGACGGCAGAAACGGGCTCCACAACTTGAAGGCCACGCAAAGCTTCCATGGCAGATTCTGCCTTCAACTCCGTGTACCACTGGAGCAAGGCAGTAACCAAGATGACCAGGGAAAGAATCGCTGGCGTCACTGCGTCTTTGTCAGGATAAAACTTCAGCAACATAACCTCCCAAAGGCAAGCGTGGTTGCATTCCAGCCGAAGCAACTGCGCTACAAAGTACCCCAGCCTCTGCAAGCACACAAATCCACAGGAGGGTGTTCAGCAAACCCGAGAAGGCAGTCCTGGTGCTTTCATGGGTTTGGCAGGTACAGTGACTGCTAGCTGTTCGAAGCTTCTTGAGGTGCTCCAACTTCATCAGGTTTTCCTGGAACCTTCCCATCCTCGTCCATTTGCTTAAGTCCCTTGCAAAAAAGCGCAGGCATTCCAGTGGTGATAGACTCCGTTGATAGACTCCGTTTAAAACCAAACAAGGGGGAAAGAAGATAAGCAACAAATGGAAGTCCTGCCGAGTCCTGCCCCATTAAGGCTTACCCCTTGGGAGCCTATTGAACCAAGACCAGCCTGGATTGAACTATCAACATCCGCAGCCAAGGACGTCATGATGTTCTCTTGTTTAAAAAGAATGCAGGGTGCAATGGTGCTCGAGAGGAACTTGCGCCCCTCATGGTGGAGAGTGGCATGAGGGCATGAAAGCACCTGCAGCTTCTGATGGCAGGCACCCCGTCTCTGGCAGTCACTGCTCCTCAACAGCTTCACCCAGAGGTTCTCAACCTCTGGAGGTGTCAGCATGTTGGCCCCATCCTGAGACGTCAAGCAAATCGAATTTCCTGAGAGCACTTGGACTCAGCCTTGGTGGCAAAAGCGACCCCAACCGGCTTCACTGGCAGAACCACCGGCCTTCTCATACCGCCTCTTCGCCTCCTCTGAAGTCAAGCCGCTCGGCTCCCGGTCCTACATTGAAGACACGTGACAAAGAACAAGAAAGCCCAGCACTTGCAACCAGTCACAAAAAGCCGTCTCCTCAAGGCGAACGCCCAAGCGCTGCGACAAGGCTTCCACATCAAGGCTGTGGATCGGCCCACCCTCAACGCACACTCTCAACTTTGGATTGATCCATACTGCACTTCCCCTGTCAAAGGGGAATCAAATCATATTTGATGGATTCCTCCGAGCACTGTTGACCCAAAAAAGCCGCTCCGATTGAGAGCCTTGAGATGCCTGCCCAATCCCTGCCAAGCCCGCCTCACTGAGACTGCCGCTCGAGCTTTGACGGCGAAATGCAAGATTCAGCTGCTGCCTGACAAATCTGCCCTTTGCTTGGACGGCATAGGCTGTACCATGAAAGCATATCGCGGGCATAGCCCATCAATCCAACAGAACACGGGACTCTGGGAGTGTCGTTCTCCTTTTCTCTGTTCTTGAAACAAGGACATATTGCAGTCTGTTTTGCAAACGGAAAAACCACATTCCTTTGACACTTCTCAAGAGGTCGCCACTCACTGTGCCAAAAGCTATGGGAGAATGTGTTTTGTGCGTTTGCTTGGTGTTGTTCTTGCTAGTGTTCGATGTTTTTTTTGGTTTTTGGTCCCGGGCAGGCCCGATCGTGGATTTGACTTATTGAGATGCGAGGTGAACTATGAATGTTGCTTGAGTGTTAACGGGATTGCTTTGTGAAGACAATTCCATTGGAAAGGACAATATGAATTGAAATCTAACAATTATGATTTGCAATGGTTTATTGGAGAAACATTCTGATTGGAATATGTCTTTGTCAAAGCAGATTGTAACTCTAGTTGACTTATACAGTTCTACCTGGCAAGCAGCTTCTATCTAAAGTCGAAGCTGGAGATATGATGCCCAATGCGATTCGGAGCAAGTATGTCCTTGTTGAGTCCTAATTGAATAATAATGAGACTTTAAATGGGCAACTTGCAAACCTTTTGTGTAGCCAAAGGACATCGGGTAGAGGTTATCGTTTTGTGCAACCCTATCGTTTTACAAGGTTTTGTGCATTTCACCGTTCCACGTGACATCGAAGTCCACTTTGCCAGCTTGAAACTAGCAACTTTCAGTATAAGTGTAGTAAAGGAAGTACACTTACAAATCTCCGGCTTAAAAGTCGCAACTTTTTCAGTACAAGTGTCGTAAAGAAAGTGCACTTTGGCAGCTCCGGCTCAAAAGTCGCAACTTGTCAGTACAAATGTAGTAAAGGAAGTACACTTTCGGCTCGAAAGTCAAAGTGTAGTAAAGGAACGGGAAGGAAGTACACTTTGGCAGCCCCGGCTCGAAAGTCGCAACTTTTCAGTACAAGTGTATTAATCAAAGTATGCTTTAGCAGCTCCGCCTCGAAAGTCGCAACTTTTCAGCACAAGTGTAGTAAAGGAAGTACACTTTTGCAGCGTACAAGTGCAGTAAAGGAAATACACTCAGCTGTTCATTTCCTTACATGTGGGTTATCGTTTCCCTATCATTTCGCATGCTTTTGGCACGTTCTACTGCACATGTGTGTCATGTCCAGCCCTTCACATATTGGTCTTCCACAGGTTTTGACAGACGCTCAAATGGCTTTACGAGACTGGCCACTCGTGGTTTGTCCGCAAAACGCTTCAATTTGTTCTGACGTTGCCAGGTGTCCACAGGATTGTTGGACCTCTGCATTCTCTCCTTGTGAAATTACACTTAATATCTTTGTCAAATTATACTCTAACTCTAGCTGAATCCGAATGTCCATGTTCAAAAAAAAATAAAACATGTTGTTGTTTTGTCAATTAAACTAATTTGTTGTCGTTTGTCTTATTTCAACTTAATATTTACAGGATGTCCTTTCGCATTCGACACAACGTATTCAAAAAGAGCAGTGCAAACAACTGATACAGTTGCACGCACAAGCAAATCAAAAAAGAAATGCACTCCCAGAGTCCCCAGCCCTCTCAACTAATTGGGGCACTGGTTGAGCCATCTTGGAACAAAAGGCCGCGCAACAAGACCGGCAAAGCCTGTCCCCAGCCTGACGCATTCTGCAGTGATCTCGCAGCTGCTCGACCTGCTCTCGATACCTCTCCCCGTGGCCACGCTGGATTTGAAAAAACTTGCCTGCCTACAGCTGTCCTCTGAAACGTGGCCTTTTTGTGGAAAACCCATCGATCTATTGGATTGTACCAAAGGTCCACATGCCAATGACCCCTAGGCCTAGGCAGCAAGACTCGGCAAAGTGAGCCTCTCTAGCCTGTGACGATCGTGCTCGCGCCCGATGTTGCTGAGCTCTAGCTCATCCATCCGCAAATCATGGCCCGCTGGACCCAACTGAGTTTAGATGGAATTTCAGTCATTTGTCCCCGTTTCCGCTGGCACTCGCAATCTAAAAAAAAAAATTAGGGGGGAGCATAGCTAGGCACACCGGGGGGCCCCCCGATTCTATGTAATAAATTGGCTGAACAAATGGCATGCGGGTATGGGCACAGAATCATCGACGGGACAATGACGATTGCTGCCGTGACCAGCCTCAGTGCAAGCAGGCATTTTCAATCACCAGGCTCGGCGTCTCGATGGGCCTGAAGGCTCAAAAGTGGGGCACTCTGAACTTCCAGGTGCCATCTAGTGGATCGTAATCCTCGAAGATGGCGCCCTTGTCCTGCGTCATCTGCGCCACCCGCTGCCTGTATCGTTGCCGGGCCTTCTGGTCAACGAAGCAGCTCTGAGACTTTGGCATGCAGCCATGGAGCACGATGCTGGCTGGCTTGTTCAGCCCTTGGCCCACGTCTGGCTTCAAAGCCGCGTCTGGGTACACAATGATCTCACCAGGCTGAACTGACAGGATTTGTGGGATCAGGGGGAGCAAATCACGGCAGTCGGTGACACCATGAAAGATGACCTGGCCAACACCAGCCCGGCCAATCTCCAGATCTTGCACATACTGCTGCTCTTGCCAGCTCATCTCCCACAAAAGCGGCTTCACATACAGCCCGCCCAAGTCCGGGGCAATTGGGCATTCTCTGGGTGATGGTGCAGCCACCTCGCTCGATAAATTGTCAGGCAACTCGGGTGGCTCATCTGTGCAAGAAGATTTCAGCCGAAGAAGCAAATTTGCAGCTGCGACGCACCATCTTGCCAGCGGTGCTGCTGCTGGGCATTTTGCCAGCAAGGACGCATCACAAAACACCGGGGCGTCTAAATTCTGGAGGAACTGCTGCACTTGTGCAGAAGGGCACCTGGCAGCCTCCAAGGGTGTAAAAGATCTCAGCTTCTGCAGGAACTGGGAGTCCAGGCGGCGCCTGCCGGTTGACCACACTGCGTCAACCCCAAACAACCGAAGAGCTGTTTCAACAGCCTGGCAAATGGCAGCTGGAGGTTTGCGCAGGGACCGCAATTCGTACAAGTATTTGGACGAAATGTCGCTCGCAGCTTCTTCGACTGCTGCAGCTGCCACTGCTATGGCCGCAACTTGGACTTCCGGCACAAATTCACCCAAGGTATCACTAGCATTACGGCTTACACTGTCCGAGTCCTGTAGAGATACCACATCCCGTCTGCTTTGTTGCATCGGCTCATCGTCAGTTGCGGCAGGTGTCTCGTGATACGTTGCCAGCTGTGCTTCTGCACCTGAACTGGCTTGAGAGGCGACAATCGGGCTCCTTGTGCCATTGCTGTTGTCGCTCTCAGCTGCCCCATCAACCGCCAGCTCCTTGTTCTCCAAATCCTGCTCCGCAATGCTCTCAGTTGCTGGCATGCCAAATTTACCAACCACATCCTTGAGACCAGGCCTTCGCGTCAGCAAGGCCTTTTCATGAGCAAAAACATTCCCATGATCTGCGTCAACTCGCGCAGAATTGGGCGCTGTTGCCGGTAAGGTCTCTGCTTCTACTGGCCGCCGGAGTCCGGTGCTGGGTCTGCGAACTGGTGTCTGGGAATGCAAATCACGCTGGGCACTCTCCAAGGCACCTGCCTCAAATGCCTGCGGCACCTGCGGCACCTGCGGCACCTGCGGCACCTGCGGCACCTGCGCCATCTGCGCCTGTGGGTTTTGCAGGGTCTCTTGCGGGGCCGAGGCCTGGGCTTGTGAGGCCTGTGGGGCTTGGGGGGCTTGTGTAGGCTGAGCAAAGAGGCGTTTCCAAACACTGTTCTTGGGGCTGAAATCAGCCGATGGGCGTGCCGTTGGATTGGCAGTCAGATTGGCAGAAAGAACATTGCCAGGACTTGAATATACAATGTAATCCGAAGCGTCCAACGTTCGCACGCTCGCTTGGGCATCAGGAAAACCTGTCAAGCCATTTGCTCTGCACGTGTGTGGCAGTGTCACTTGAGAACAGCTGGTCCTCGCCGAGTCAGGACCTTCGGGGCGAGGATGTGGAACCGAGTATGTTCCAGAAATTCTTGACCCATCCAATGCACCCAATGCATTCAGATGGCTTCGGATTGGTGACACGCATCGCGTAGGCACAACCCGCGGATGCAAAATAGCCGGGCCCTCTGGCAAGAAATGTCTCTGTGTCGGCCTCCTGGGTGAGGAGGAATTGGTCCGTGCCGATACGAAGACTGGAGGCACTGCCACTTGAGGGCTTGTGCTTCGGGGTGATGGCAGACTCCATCCATTTCGCAGGTCTGCCTCGCGAAGCGGCACCGAACAGCTCCTAGGGCCCAAGTGAAGTGGCAGCGGGGTGCTCATTGGCACCTTCGACCTGCCGCCATCTTGGAACATGAAATAAGGATGGAAAGACGAACTGTAGCCCATCCCGAGCCCAGCTAAGCAAGAGGCACCAGCTGGAAAAGGTGTCCTCTCTGACATTGCCGCCATGCTGCTGGCATTCTACAAGACCCGCGGCATTCAGAAATGAATGGCGTCCGGGAACACGTGATGCAATGATAGGAAGTTGGGTTGGGTCTCTTTGCGTTGGATTGCTCTGCTAAAAGGGATGCTATGAATTGGGTACTGATGTGCTCTTTGAACCTCGTTATGCGTGTGCCCGCGAATTGTGACGTGTAACTGTTGTGGCAGCTGCGAGCATCACGCCTCTCCGGCAGTCACATGCGCAAAGCAGCTGAGCACAAACATGTTTGCTAATGACAAGCATCTTGTGATTCCATGCGCTCATATCAACATCTTCCACAAATTGGAGATACCGCAGCTCCAAACATTCATGGACAAGTTGCGTCATTTTGCCCAATGTCCCTTCAACCCAACACCCATTCAAACCTGCGAAGTTCCACGCCGCGCTTCTGTGTACCCTACTGCCTGCCACACCAGCATATGCAAAGGACCTCGTTGCGGCTATCCAAGCTGATCCCCACGACGTGGCACAATTGTTCGGCCAGGAAAGGAATGAATATTTTTGAGCACTGAACCTCTGCGGGCCCAGCGACGAATCTTGGAGGATTAGCAAACATTATTCATTGCGGTGGGGGCCGCCACAAAATACATGCCCATCACAGCCTTCTAACCTCACCCCCATGAGAAAATCCAAACACTGTGCAATCCACACATTCGGGTTACCGATCGTACGAGGGTGATCTTTGATTGTTGTTCACACCTTTTCCGTCAAAACATGGGAGAAGAAAACAGCGCCGCCCGGCGCGCAACGGGCTTCGGACCGTTTCATCTCCCCCCAACCGGTGCTCCCGCGCCACCCTACCCAACCCCTCGGGCGGATCCGCAGGTCGCAAGTGATTAGATTTGAGGTCGCAAGTGATGGAGAAGGTCGCACGTGACCTGCAGGTCGAAAGTACTACATGGGCAGGTCGCAAGTGACTGGCCAGCCCGTTCGTTGCCCTGATGTCCCGCGAAGCTGTGCCTGCTCCCTGCCAAGCGCGGATGCGTGTGGTTCGCCTTTGTTGCACCCTAGCTCGGGAACAAAGGTTGCGCTTTTTAGTTTCTGCTTGGAAGGACTTTTGTGACCACCGCGTGTGTCGCTAGCATGCAGGGTAATGGCGTGAGTTCGGCGGATGTTTTGCTCGTGTAGTTTCACCCAAAGGACAGCCGCAGGGAGAAAAATAAACAAACAAAATGGTTGTGTGTCATGCTGGCCTTATGACTTTGGCATAGAACCAAAACCGCATCATTTAGCTCGAGCAGGGTAGGTCGTCACGGGTTTCGGGACAATTTGCCAGCTTCCCACCGACGAAAGGAAGGAGGAGGTTTTACGTGAATTTTACATGATTGACCAGAATCCTTGCACAATTCCTTTGACTGCACGTGAATGCCTAAGCATGACATATCTGGAAGCCAACTTGGGCTCCGCTGCCGCTTTGTAGCGCAAATAGGGCTCAAAGATCCTGATATACTCCCAAACTGTTAGTATGACAAGGCAAGGAGGCTCTGCCTTTTGCTTCATGGCGCGCAGCGAATCTCTGTGAGATTATGGGCTTAGCCACTGCGAAAGCATCAAGCGACTCCTCGCACTAGCGGACTGCGGTGGTTTGCACACCTCGGTCTAGGTAGCTCAGCAGCCAGCTTTCAACTAATCCACAATCACGCTGAAGATTCCTCCGGCTCTTGATGGCAAAATCTTGGCTACGAGGAGCAGATTGAGGATGTGTTGGCAATTACCACACATACATACTTTGTCAAGGGAGTTCAACACACGTTCCCTTGGAGATTCCTGTTGTTTTTCAGATGCTTCTAGTTGACGTTTCGAGATCGTTGCAACCTGAATGCATCCACAGCAGCAGCACGAAGAGAGATTGACAATGCGACAGGTCCGCCAACCGCACTTAGCAAACGCTCAATACAACAATCTCCAACGAAAAATTGCAAGATGGGCAAGCGATCGATAGGCCGAGGCTGCTGTGCAGCAGTGCGCTGGAGAGTTCCCACCGCCGCTGCCACGCAACGGGAACAAAGCCGGCCAGCGTCGAAGCAAAACCTCCAGCATCGCTCCATCGTGCGCAGCAGCCTGCGGTTGAGGCTGCCATTCCTGCACACAGGCCAGAACGTCGCAGCAAACTCGCCGAGCGAATGGCGCCATTCAGGACGAAGCATCTGCGGAGCCCCCGAGCCCTAGCCTGGTTTCCGCAAAGGGTTCGGCGAGCTCAAAACAAAGCCGCGCGGCGCCACAACGCAGACGGAAAAAGGAGATCGTGCGCGCTCGCTGTGGCGCCGTGCGAATCTGTCCGACCGCGGCGAACCCTCTGCGGAGATCGTGCGTGTGGAAGCGCTCTCGCTGTGGCGCCGTGCGAATTTGTCCTGACCGCGGTGAACAGGCTGGAGCACCCAAGCACATGGTTGCACTGAGGGGACGCGCAGAACAGCAACAGCTCCCACGAAGCCTGCGCATCTTCGAGCCCACGGATGCGTTGGAGCAGACCGGCGTGGCTGGCAGACAGGCGCTGCAACTGAGCCGCAACAAACGCGGGGGAACCCAATGGAGCACCAAGCACAACAAGCCCGCGGGTCCAGATTCGGGCCTTGCCGTGGTCCTGGATGCGATCCAGGAAGGACAGCAGCGGCTCGCCTAAGCGAAAAGACTCCTGGACCTCCTTGTTCCCCACCCTCCGCCTGAAAAACCGCATGGGGGACGCCATCAGCGTCATGCCACACAAACTCCGACCGGGTGGTTTAGAAGAGACGCACGAAAGGCAGGGCAAACATTGGCGCCAGGGACAGGCTGCAAGCCAGCATGGCACTGCGAGAGATCGTGTCAAGGGCTCCTACCCCATCAGCGGAGACTACGGTGGCAGTGAGGTCAAGCTCGGTTGCAACAGGAAGGGCGTGCACCACCGAGTCGGTGCCAGAGCGAGTGGACAGAGCAAATTGATGCGGGCGCGGCATACTGCTGCGCCAGACTTCGTGCGGTCGGAGGCGGCCTCGTCGTCGAGGACAAGGCGCAGGAACCTTTCCTGGCCCGGCGAAAGTTGGCAAGTAGGAAGGGGGCCCGCAAGGCCTCAACATCGGGCGGGCGGAAAGCAAGTACGTCGTCAGGGGGTTTCTTGCGGCCGGCGCGCCGGATCACGAAGCTCCTGGAGCGTAGCCTCATTGCCGGGGCCGAGGGAAGGTGAACAAGGTGATGGGCTCTGAGGGCAGAGGCCTGAAGACCCTCTGGGCCGGCCTCCGCGGTGGGGGCAGCCCGTGGCGGGTCATCACCCCCTGGAAGGGACTGGGCAACTTCGGCCAACAACGTCATCCACTCCCCAGCGTGGAAGGCGCGAAAACGTTGGCGCCATTCGGGCCGGGACAAGTGGCGCTGCTCCGGGGGCAGGGTGCTCACTTAGGGATCGCTCAAACGGTTCACTAAGGGATCACGGTCACTTGGGGATACACGCAAACTTAGGGATCGCATTCACAGTTCACTTAGGGATCACATTCACTGATCACGCGGGTGGGGGGGTTTGGTCGGGGGGGGTGATAAGCACACCCGCTCAACTGCTGCAGGCCAGCCTGCTCTTTTTAAAAAGAAACGAGGGCGTTGGGTGGGGGGGCGATACGCACACCCGCCCAACTGCTGCAGACCAGCCTGCTCTTTTACCGGGTTACCAAGTAACATAGCTTGGGGGGGGGGGTTGGGGGGGGAGCATGATAAGCACACCCGCTCAACTGCTGCAGACCAGCCTGCTATTTTACCGGATTAGAAAATAACATGGTTCTGGCGGGGGGGTTGGGTGGGAGGCAGGATAAGCACACCCAGTCAACTGCTGCAGACCAGCCTGCCGCACACCCGCTTGCTGCGGGCCCCCCGATTATAGGGGAGCGTCTGCCCGCCGCCAACAGTTCGTTTTTTGTGCCCCTTCTCTTGGCTGGGGGAGGGCTGCTTCAGCCCGATCACTCCCCCAGGTCGCCCTCCCCTTGGACTGCCCCCATCCCCTTAGATCGCGCCAGCGCCCCCACACATGTCTCGTCGGCATACTTGCGCCCTGCCGCCCCACGCTGGGAAGAGACATGCCCGTCGCCAATCAAACTCGCATCGAGTATGGCCTGCAAGGCGATGGAAAGCGCGTGACGCACAAGGCCATGAACAAAAGCTGGAAGGGACTGGAACACAAAGACCTGCACACGAAGCAGGGCCAACACGTCGACCGCGTCCAGACGCGACAGAGCAGTGCGGAGCTGGGAATCGGGGAGGTGGTCGGGCTGCAAAGGTGGCGCGTCCGGCCGCGCAGCGCTGATGGTTGCGGGGCTAGCGGGCCGGGGTGCCGTGCTGACGGTGCGGCTGCGGCCGGCGCCCCGGCCGCAAGTGCTGGGCCTTTGGCGTGGGGGCGAACGTCTGTCCGGGGGCCGGCTAGCTGACCCATGCAGCCATGACAGCCTTTGCTTCGTCCCTTTTCAGGCAGGCTGCCGGGCCGGAGCTTTGCAATGCCGGGGGTGGCACCCTGCCTCCCCTCGGCACCTTGCTGGCTGATCTTGCCCACGTGCCACTGGCGGGCGCATCCCGCTTGCCCGGCCGGTGAGTCGCACAGCCGGGAGCCGCCGGTATACAAATGGCTGCCACCTTAATGCCCCCTAAGCACATCCGGGGCCGGTATATAAGTGGCCTGCAGGAGCAGACGGAGAAAAAAAAAAAAAAAAAAAAACGAGCGCCTGCCCTGCTCAGGAAGCAGTAGCCGCAGCCGCGCCAATGCGCAGGGAGCTCGGAGCTAGCGCCTGAAGGCTGTTGCCGTGCATGCTTCTCCACTGGCGCCCGGAGCAGGGCAGTGGGTCGCTTAGGGATCGCGCAAAAATGCTTCGCTTAGGGATCGCGCAATTGGGTCGCTCCGGGATCGGGTTTTGAAGAAGGCTTGTCGCGCATGCATGCGTGTTGACATGTCTGCCTCGCGATGTATGTTTATATGCGCGCATGTGTTTGCATGCATGCGTTTGTCTGTGCTTGTTTGCGTCTTGCTGGCTAGCAAGGGCAGTA